AGAGAGATGGGGAGCAGAGTGGGCCAGAGGCAGAGAGAGACGGGGGCAGAGAGAGACGGGGGGCAGAGCGGGCCAGAGGCAGAGAGAGACGGGGGGCAGAGCGGGCCAGAGGCAGAGAGAGACGGGGGGCAGAGTGAATCGGGGGGCAGAGTGGGCCAGAGGCAGAGAGAGATGGGGAGCAGAGTGGGCCAGAGGCAGAGAGAGACGGGGGGCAGAGCGGGCCAGAGGCAGAGAGAGACGGGGGGCAGAGCGCGCCAGAGGCAGAGAGAGACGGGGGCAGAGAGAGACAGGGGGCAGAGCAGGCCAGAGGCAGAGAGAGACGGGGGGCAGAGCGGGCCAGAGGCAGAGAGAGACAGGGAGCAGAGAGAGAGGAGGGGCAGAGGGGGCCAGGGGCAGAGCAGGTGGGAGGTAGAGAGGGCCGAGGGACACACATGTGGGCTCGTCATCCCCCCATGGCTGCCGACCCCGGCCCCACCCGGCCCTCTGCCCCCAGCCCAGGGGGGCAGCACCGTGGAGCAGTCCTGGCAGTCCCGGGGGGACGGAGCCCGGGGCAGCCCAGCCGCAGGACGGGCCACGTGTGGGACGTACGAGTGGCCGGTGGCAGGGATGAAGTAGAGGCAGCAGTGGACGCGCGTATCTGGGATGCGTTTCTTCCGGTTGATGTTGACCTCCTCCTGCAGGTACTTCTCGTACTGGTCGTTGATGAACTTCATGATGGGCTGCCAGCTGTGCGGAGAGGCCCCGGTTAGCCTGCACGAGGGACGGGACGCCCTCCCGCCCAAGTGCGGGGACAGCTCACTGGCAGGTCCCTAATGCTGCAAACCCCAGCCCGACACCCAGTCTTCCAGTGAACGTGCTGGGGGCTGACTTTCTGAGCAGAGGCCACAGCCTTATCTCAGAGCTCCCAAACCAGCCTCCTATGCTGACCTTTGACCTTGGGGGCAGACGGGGGAAGGGGCAAGACTCCCAGGAGCTCTGCTTTGGTCAGGATTTGTCGCTTCTCAGCGTTTAGTGGCGCCTTAGGCCCAGGAGACAGGCCCCAGCACCCCGTCATGCTCTTCTGCCTGGAGGAGTAGCCCCCACGGCTCCTCACCAGTTCTCATTGTTGATGTGGTCCCCGAACCCCGGCGTGTCGATGACCGTCAGCTTCATGCGGACACCCTTCTCCTCGATATCTGCACAGAATTCAGCATCCACCGAGCTCGGGGAGACCCAGGGTGGGCCGGGTCCCACCTGATGCCCGGTGGACCTGCCCCAACAAGGCCCACTTAGAGTACCCGGGGTGACCAGCAATGACACCCCAGGTGACACCAGGGAGACGACAGCCTCCAGCAGGGGCTGGTGACCGTTATCCTGGGTAGCCCCCTGCCCAGGAGTGTTGGTAGAAAACTCAGTTGTCAGAGGACTCAGTCCAACTAGGGCCCTCAGGGGTTCTGGAGAGCACCCTTGACCCAGAGTTAACATGCCCAGAGGCGGCGCCTCGAGTCCCCAGCTCAGGGGACCTGGAGGGCCTGACTCAGCAGCGTTACCCCAGCTTCAGGAGGGAGAAGGCGTCGAGCCGCCGGACCCCGCGCTCACCGTGCGTGATAGACTTGATCTCAATGGTCTTGGGGATGCGCTCCTCCGAGGTGGGCTGCACCGACTTCCGGCTGATCTTGGATTTGAAGAGGGTGTTGATCAAGGTGGACTTCCCCAAGCCACTCTGCCCTGGAGAGAGAACAGGGCCAGTCAGCGGGGCTTTCTGGAGAGGACGGTTCACACGCCCTGAGATTCGGCCATGCCTGGGCATTCCCCACGCCCCAGTGCTCCTCAGTGGGGGGCTCTGGGTCAGGAGGAGGTCAGCAGACAGGAAGCGCCAGGAAGGCCGGTGACCGAGCTCCTGCAGCGCATTGTAGCAGAGCAGGACCTGGACCCCACGCCTTCTGACCACAGGGGTTATCAAACTGCCCCATGCAGGGTCCCAGGTTCGCAAGAGGAGCTGAGACGCAGAACGGGGTGGGGGAGGTCAGGTGGGGGCGGGCTCCCGCGGCGCAGCTCCACGCTTAGCTGTTGGACACACCGGGATCCACGTGAGGTTTGAAGGAACAGCTCTGCGGAGAGCCCCCACCCAGGACCTCAGGAAGGAGGGTCTGCCTGCCATGGTCTAACCACAGCCGGGCCACCCACACTGCAGCCTGGTCCAAGACGGCTGGGCTCCCAGCCTCTGCGGGTCGTCTGGGTTGGAGTGTTGGCACGCTCAGCATGCACAGCCTACAGTCAAGCAACCACCAGGCTCGGTGAAAGGCCACAGGGTCAGCTCCTCCTGGAGCAGGAGGCCTGACCAGGGCCCCACAGATGGTGGGGCAGCTGTGCCTCACTGCCAGGGGCAGGGACAGCCACTGCCTGGTGCCCACGTCAACAGACCCTGCAGCTAAGGGCTGACTGGCCGGTGAGCCCCCAGGGCATCAGCGATGCCCCCTCATGACTCCCAGGCACCCCTGGCCTTGCTGTGTGCCCAAACCTCGCCTCACCCCGAGCCCCTCCCACAGCAGGAGGGAAGAGGGCAGAGGAGCACAGTGGAGAGGGACCTTGACTCAGCAGTGACCGGAGGTCCCTCCTGCTCTGAATCACCATGAATCCAGGGCCTGCCTCGCTGCTGCTAACCAGCAGGTTCCGCTCATGCAGCACACACTGTGCTCCTGCGTGTAGGAATTTACCCTCACAACCAGGTGCCGTCACCATCCCATTTGACAGATGAGGAAACTGAGGCCCGGAGTGGGGATTAGAACCCAGCAGCCCGGATGCAGGGCCCCAGCCATGACCTTCCACCTCGGAGGTTAACAGTGGGAATGGCTGCTGACATTTATAATGTGCCTGCCGTGTGCGAGGCACACCTCAGCACAAGCAGGTGCACACGCATGCACACACACACACTCACACACAACTCCAGACTCGGAGCCCCATCGCTTTAACCCTGCACTGAGCTGCCCTAGGCTGTGCTAACCAACATGTTTTAAAAAATTAAATTATACTGATTTTCCGACTTTGATGATCTTTCGAGGAAAAGTGTGGGCTCCCGGGAGGCCAGAGGCTGGTGTCGGAATCCCTGGCCCGAGCTGTTTAGCATTCCATCTCCCCCTCTGCCCATCTGCTTTGTGTCCCCGCCAGCTCAGGCCAGGAGCTTTGTCAAACCTTCCAGCTATGCCTCTTACATCTGGGAGATGCCACCGGGATATTTTAATGTTTATCCCATTATTATTATTATTTTTATTACCATCACCATCATCAACATTGCTATTGTTTCTACAAATTCTCCTGCGCCCGTGACCATGCCAGGCGCCGAACCCGTTGTCCCATTTGCCCCTGCTGGCCCTCTGGGGTCAGGATTATCCCATTTACAGAGGAGGAAACTGAGGCTGGTAGGAGAAGCCTGGGGCAAGCCAGGACCAGCATCACGCAGCTTAGTGGGGGCAAAGCTGGGATTCTACCCTGGGTCTGTGGACCCCCAAGAGGCACCCTTCCACTCCAGCTGCGTCTCTGCAGTGGGGGCACTGCTGTGGGAGGGAGGGAGGAGGAACCGAGCTCCAGTTCTCCCTCCCCTTGTGAGCAGAGGGACCTTGTCACGCCCTCTCCGGGCCTCGTCTCCACCTGTAAAGTGGGGCTCCCCCCACTGTGAGGACTGAATGGGACCTGAGGGGCTTCCAGAGCAAGAGGCTGCCCACTGCTGCCTCTAACCCAGCCTCCAACCCTGTCTGGGCTGGGCTGATCGATGACCTCCCCTTGGTGACCATCCAGCTCTCCAGGGGCCACCAGGAAGCCTCCAGCCAGGCCTGCTGGGTGTGGGGGTCAGCCCCACCCAGGGCTAGAAGTCCAGGGCTCGACAGCGAGGGGGACGCTCCTGCTAAAAGCAGAAGGCGGAGGCCCACTGGTCAGGGAGCGGCCGTTTACCGAGCGTCTGCCTGGGCCCGGTGCCGGGCTCACCTGAGCTACCTTAGGGGTGCTTAATGAGAGGAGCCGACGGGAGCTGTGGACCCTGCTCGCAGGCACACGCGTGCACACACAGCGCCACTCACAATCCGTCCTGCTGGCCAGGTCTGTCAACCCTTTTACAGAAGGGAAGACTGAGGCCCGGGGCTTGTGTGGCTGGCCCACGGCGCCAGTTCCCTGCTGGGTTCTGAGTGGCGGTGGGGAGTGGGGACTCACCAACCACCATTATGTTGAACTCGAAGCCCTGCTTCATGGCCTTCCTGCGCATCTGCTCCAGGATGGAGTCGATCCCCACATAGCCGAAGTCCACCGGGGCCTTCTCGTTCCGCGGCACGGGCGCCTGCTTGAACCCGGCGTCTCTGGGGGTGTCAGCCATGTCACCCACGCAGCTGGGAGCTGCCTCAGTGGCTGCAGAAAGAGGAGCAGGGGTGTTAGGGTGATGGGGGTCCTACAGAGGCGTCTGCCAAGCACCTATATCCTTAGGTGGCTCCGAACATCATCCCCATTTCTCAGATGGGAACCTGAGGCTCAGCAGCCCAAGAGACCCCTGCAGAGGAATGCCCCAGGGCTGAAACCCCTCAGACGGTGCCCAGTAAAAGGCACGGTCCTGCAGCCACTATGCTCCGCCACAGAGCCCCACCCCAGACTCTCAAACCCTCTCCACCAGCTGCCTCTCCCTTGGCTCCAGGGCAGGGCTGACCCCTGAACCCTCCTTTTCCTCGCTCACCTGCAGAGCGCTCTCTGTCCCTGCCCTCACCCTGCAGAGGCACCCAGGTGGGCCCCTCCATCCCCTTCACCTGACTCAAATAGACCCAACAGCTGCAGCAGCCTGCGGCCTCAGGGCAGGACAGCCTCCTAAAGGAGGGAGGGAGGGAACCTGCTCTTGTTCCTTCCTGCCACTCCTGGGCAGGGCGTGCTCAATCCTAGGTACCGGCCATAGCCCTGGACCGGGCGACAGTGCTGGGGGGCTCTTTCGAGGCTCCTCCTGGGCCCAGCTGTTGCCGTCAGACGGCTGGCAGGAGAGGGTTCCCTGGCTCCTGGGGGCACCGCCCCTGTCTCTCACCCTGGGGCGGATGCAGGTGGCTGACTTCTCTGACCGCCCCACACCCACGGGCCAGGACCGGGTTTTGCTTTCAGGTCTGCAGACGGGCAGGTGGGGCTGGGCTGCTCAAAATAACCCACGTTCTGTGGTCTGCAACCTGGAACCTTCCTCCTTTCTATGGCCCCTCCCCTGGCTGCCCTCAAGAGTCCACATGCCTAGGCCAGAGGCCTGGGGGTGGGGGGGTGACGCCCAGAAGGCAGCCACTGGGCACCCAGCAGGGCTGGTCAGGGCCCTCAGGACAGTGCATGTTTCCCACCACGGTCTGGCTGGAGCACATCGGCCATGTCCCAGTGCACCCCAGACACACCACATGCCCTCACCACATCTTTCCTCGGCCAGCCTCTCAGGGCCCCAGCCCCTCGCCTTCCCCTGTCCCAGTGGGTCCAGGCTATTCCCACCCCCTCTGCCCACTAAGAACTTTCAGCCCCATCCTACCTCCCAGGTAGGACTGGGGTCTCCCCTTCTGGAGCACCGGGAGCTCATAGGGAGGGGCAACACACTGTGTCTGGATACCTCCCCTGGCCCTGTGGGCCCCTCCCGTGACCTCACGGCAAGGGGTGCTTGGTTCCCTGGGCATCAGCCCCTGGACGTGGGCTGGGGAGGCAGGGGGCACGGCCCACTGCCAGGGTGGGCAAGCAGCCTTCGCAAACATGCCCTCCTGCCCCTATTCCAGGAAGGCCAAGACACAGGTGGCAGGCCAGAAGGTCACTGTGAGGCTTTCAGACAAACCGTTTCCACTTCCTGGGGAAATAACCAGACTCTAGCCCCCACCACACCCCGCTCCGGCCCCGCCAGCTCACACCTCAGCAGCCACATCTGTTTCACAGGGGCGTCAGAGGAGCTGAGATGGGGGCCCACCTCCCCTTCCTCCCTCCCAGGCCTGCGACAGGGCTGGACCGAGAGAGGACGGGAGACAAGGACGACTGGCTTACAAATTCCATAAATGGGGTGTGGGCGGTTTGTCCTCACAGCCAGTCACTTAGCTGCCCCGTTTCCTGAGCCTCCACAGAGCGCGGTGACTCCCACCGCACAGCACTGGGGGAAGGAGAAAAAACGTGACACACACAAAAGGCCAGGGGCTGCCCACGTCCACACATCTTCTCTCCTCACAGCAACAACAGGCAGATACTTGAGGCCGTGGGGTCCACGCTGCCCACCCCACCCCGACCCCAACCCCCACCAGGGAAGGGCCAAGGACCCAGGAGGCCGGCAACTACGGCCATTCGGGGCTGAGGCCTAAGAGGCGTTTTCCTCTGCTCTCTCTTCAGAAATACTCTCCCCTGGGGTCCAGCATCTTAAATAAACAAAGACTGCATCTGGCCCTGAGCATGTGGCTTCAGGGCTGCTTCCTGGAGGCAGACGTGGGGCCTTGTCTTGCGGGGCAGCAGTTCAGCCCTGCCCCACGTGACCGAAAATTGCTTCCATCTGTCGGCGGGTCTGAGAGCCATTCTGCCCAGGCCTGGGCCGGCCCCACCGCCCACATCTCTCTCCGTCCCTCACCCCATCCCATGCAGTACCCAGGGAGTGGAGGTCGCTGCCCCTGGACCCCCCTCACTTCCCTCCACAGCCCCGGGAGCAGCAGAGAGGGAGGGTCCGGCCTCAGCTCCACAGGCACCAACATCCACTGCAGAAACCCAAACCACAGCCAACATCCTGCCACCAGGGCCCTGCTGGAGAAATAACAACACAGCCCGATCCTCCCACTGACTAAGGGAAGGGCTCGGCCCTCCGCACAGGTGAGGGCCCACCCCTGCGAGGCCCTCCTCTGGGAGGCCTCCTGTAGGCAACCTCCATCTGTCTGCCTGGATGGACACAAGCACGGGAAGAAGCAGTATGAGAGCCCCTCCTTCCACCCGGCCAGGAGGCAAGCTCTGGGGGGCTGCCTTCAGGACCCCCATGTGGGAAAAGCAGAGACCTCATCCAGCAAGCTCGTCCAGAGACACTTTGTCTGAACCCTTGCTTTCCACGGAGAGCCACAGGGGTCTGGGGACAGGACCCCCAGGGGCTCCAGCCCCCTGGAAGGGACAGCAGAGACTAGCTACTCCAGCACCATCCACTAGGATTTCTTCTATGATGGAAAGTTCCACGCCTGCACTGTCCAATACGGTAGCCACACGTGACAGTTTTTTTAATTGTGGTAAAATACACACAACATAAAATTTACCATCTTAACCATTTTAAGTGGACAGTTCAGCAGTGTTAAGTACATTCACATGGTTGTGCAGCCATCCCCACCACCCATTTCCAGAACTCTTTCCTCTTGCAAAACTGAAACTCTGTCCCCATTAAACGCTCACTCCCATTCCCCCTCCCTTAGTCCCTGATACCCACCACCCTACTTTCTGTCTCTATGAATCTGATCACTCTAGGGACCTCATATAAGTAGAATCTTACAGTATTTGGCCTTTTGTGACTGGCTTACTTCACTCAGCATAATGTCCTCAAGGTTCATCCACGTTGTAGCATGTGTCAGAATTTCCTTCCCTTTTAAGGTTGAGTAATACTCCACTGTATGTATGGATAGACCACATTTTGTATATCCAGTATTTTGATTGTTTGAGGAACTGCCAGCTGTTTTCATATGTGACCTCTGAGCACTTGAATGGCTGCTAGTCCAAACAGGGAACGGAATTTTCATTTTACTTCATTTTAATTAATTTTAATTTAAACAGCTCCATGTGGTGAACGGCGACCACACACAACAGCACTGATTCTAGTCCGACCCACACGTTCTACAAATGGGGAAACTGAGGGCCCCAGAGTGGTTCTTTCTGAAATGCCACAGGAAGTGGGTAGCAGACCAGGAGCTCCAGTGAGGATGGAAGTGGCCTGCGTGGATCCCCGCTGCACCCCCAGAGCCACACGGGGAGGGGACGCTCAGTCAGTACTTGTAGAATGACTGGGGTCTTGGGAGTCCCCCTTTTTGGGGTGGGGAGGGGCTCTGCCGCCCAGGCTGGCCCAAAGCCCCTCCATGATGGTGGTCAGACCCATGTCCACAGCTTCCTCCTCCCGACTGGCTCCTCAGGACCTCTGTCCAGTGCCCCTCCCCCAGTGAGCCCCGCCTGGGACTGGGGCCTCGCTCTCCTTCCCATGGCCTGTCACCTAAATTTCTGTTTCACTCCCAAACTTCATCAAATGCTATTAATAGGAAAGGGAAGTTCTTAACAGAAAAATAAGAGGTTTCACATCTATGTGCAAGATGACTCACTATACCTTCGTCAGATAAACAGAGCAAGAGGGAGCCCCATTTTTTAAAAGTGGAAAACTCACACTCGGAGAAGTAATTTATCCAAGGTCACACAGCACCGCCTGCCTCTTTTCACTGCTCCTGGCTGCGTGAATCCTGCCTGGGAATCCCTTGGGAAAGGTCATCTGGAGAGCTAGCAAACTGCCACGGCCTCTGTCCCCTCCTGGGAGGAGGGAATGCCAGGTTTGCTCTGGGGGCTCGGCCCCTGGCGCAGCCTCACCCTCACTCCACCAGGCTAGCCACTCTCTCCCCAGGCTCCCAGGCCCAGGGCGACATCACTGCCCACCACACTGCCACCCTCCTCCGTGGAAGGACGGCCCAAGTGACCACCCAGGCTGGTGTGACCTCACCCACTGGCTGATGCCTTCCTTCCAGCCTCATTATTTTCTTTATTGCTGTAACACATACATAACGTAAAATTTTGACCAGATTAACCATGCTTAAGTGTTGGATTCGGTGTCATTAGGTACATTCACAACGGTGTATAACCATCTCCACCCTCCACCTCCAGAACTTCTCCACCACCCTCGACAGAAACTGTGCCCACTGAACACTCCCTGCCCCCCCGTGCCTGGCAGCGTCCCTCCTACTCCTGACCATGACTTGGACTACTGGGACCACACAGGATTCGTCCTTTTGTGTCGGGCTTCTTTCACTCAGCATGTCCTCAAGGTTCATCACGTCACAGCGAGTCTCAGAATTTCCTTCCTTTTTAAGGCTGAATGATATTCCATGGTTTATCCACTCATCTGCCAATGGACGCCTGACTTGTTTCCACCTTTTGGCTACTGTGAGCAACGCTGCTATGAACATGGATGTACAAGTATCTGTTTGAATCCTGGCTTTCAATTCTTTTGGGTATCCAGCATAACTATTAATAGAACCCAGTTAATTCTCAGAAAGGCTATGTTCTGGACAATATCGACATGGTCATGCTACAGTCAGAGCAGGTGTGGTGCTTCTCTGCAGACTCCACGGCTGGGAGCCAGGGCCCTTGGGTTCTGGCCCTGGCTCCACCTGGCCCTCGGCAGGTCCCTCCATCCTGCCATGCCTGCACTG